GAAAGGATTTGCTGATGATAGTGATGAAGACGAAACTATTGCTGATGCCCTGAAACGGAAGAAAAGGGATAAGGAGTTAGATGAAACCCTTCGGGTTGCAAAGGAAGCAGAAGAGAGGGAGCGAAAGAACAAGGAAGAGCAAGATGCCTTAAATTGCAAAAAGGCTTTGTTTCCTCTTTGGACTAGGGAAAAGCTCATCAAAGAAGCGATAGAGTTTCCAAGCATGTACTGGCTGGAACCTGTAGCTTCGTTTGATTGTGAGAATTCGAGGGACTCACAGTTTGATATGCCTATAACACGAAAGGCATTTACTTTTCACTGCTTTGATTCAACTGTTCTAGTTCCCTCACCTCACCCTCAAGTTGATCGTGAACTTATCGATTTTTATCTCAAGTTCGGTCAGCCTCAGTACCTGACTTGGAGTGCATAGAAGATTATAACAGTCAAGGTGCTGAAACCTTCGCCTGCAGGGAAGTTTGTTAATGTCAATTTCAAAATAACCTGAGGTTCAGACAACTCGGTTTCTGTGATTTCCCTGGCAGATCTTCCTAACTTGAATCCTCATGATTGGATCTTATTGTTCAACATTTTGCTCACTAATGCGAAGGAGTATGAGCCGATCCTAAAAATCATCTGAAGAGGATGTTGGCTTCTTATGTCCATGAAGTTGCTGCAATGGATCAGGAGATTGCTAAAGTTTTGAAGAAGAAACCAACTGTGAAGCCAACTGCAAAACCTGGAGATGTGAACAAAATGAAGATGGGTCAAATTGATTCTACACATCTCACAGTGATGTTCACAAGAAGCGAGGCTAAGAGATTTATTTTCGCTCTTGTTGATAATCATCTATTCTCAACGGGCTGCTTGGAGCACATAATTAATGTCATCCATCGATGCAAGCATAACACTGAGGCAGACAAGAAGAACTTTACTGACATGCTTCGGTGGTATATCACTTTTCGTCATACTCTACTGGCCATTATATCGAAGGTGTTCAAGACTGTCAAGAAGTCTTCTATAGCTCAACCGAACTGAGCTCTCGGCTCCATTGACGCAAAGGGGAGATTGTTGGGTATTTTATGTTGCGTCATGGGCTTAGTTTTGTATATCCGGATTGGGCATGTCCATCCGTGATCATTGATATTAGGGTTAAGCTATAAATAGTGCATGCATGTATGCCTTAGATACGGTCGTGATTATTATCATTATTGCTTTGTAACCCTAAACACCTCTACAGTATAAGTTCTTAATCGAGCTCTTCTGAGGTGTTAAAGCTTAATCATTCGACATCAGTTAAACCATTCATGTGTTCTTTATTACGTTGTTTATTGCTTTTCTGCTAAGAATCAATCGATCCTACTAGAACTTTGTTCTAACAGGAACAATATCTTTTTCCTTCAACCGATTACATGAAGTGACAATTTTAGCACAAGGAGCATACCCACGAGTTATATTTGTACCCAACTCGAAACCTCCTTTAACTCCATAAATAGCTTTTATAACTTTAGCCCATAGTAGATCATTACATGTGAAAAAACGCCATCTCCATTTTTGAAGGAGAGCAAAATTAAAAGCTGTCAAACTTCCGATATTTAGCCCCCCATTCTCTAAATATACCAAAACTAAATCCCATTTAACCCAAGGCATTTTTCTATGATCCAAGTATATATATATCTCTCTCTCTCTCTCTCTGTCTCTCTCTCTCTCTCTCTCTCTCTCTCTCTCTCTCTCTCTCTCTCTCTCTCCCCCCCCCACCCCACCACCACCACCCAAAAAAATATAGCGATAAGATTCCAATTTTTTTTGGAATAGAAACCGACATAAGAAAAATTGACATGTAATAAATTCCCAAAACACCTAATATAGATTTAATTAAAACTGACATTCCTCCAATAGAAAGAGTAGAAACTTTCCAAGCTGACATCTTCCTCTTAATTTTTTCCAAAATAGGCTTCCAAGCATTCACCGTGTTCATTTTTTGACCGACCGTAAGACCCAAGTAAGTGAAAGGTAATTTTCCCGGTTTACATCTCACAACTTTCGAGTACTCAACCACTTCATCCCACTTAACACCAATACCAAAAATATTAGTTTTTTCCAAGCTAATCTTCAAACCAGAGACTAAATAGAAACATTGGAGAATTGCAACCATATTAATCATGTTAGCCTTATTCCAATCTCCAAGGATAATCATATCATCCGCATAAAACAAATGTGACAAATTGGAAAGAAGACCATCAATATGAGCTCCTTTAAACATACCCTCTCCAATAGCATCCTGTATACCCACTTGAAGACCCTCCATTACCAAAATGAAAATGAATGGGGAAAAAGGGTCATCTTGTCTAAGACCTCTTTGGAGTTGAAATCCTCTGATAGACTTTCATTAAGAAGCACAACTCTAGCAGAAATCAAACACACATGTATCCAAGAGCGCCATTTATCTCCAAAGTTCATAAACTTCATTACCGTATCCAATATTCCTAACTGATCGAATCATAGGCTTTAGCAAAGTCAATTTTAAATAGCATCAATTTTCTAGTCTTCTTCTTATACCTCTCAACAACTTCATTCACCACCAACGGACCATCTAGAATTTGTCTATTTTTTATGAAAGTCGTCTGCTCGTCACTAACAAGATTACCGATAGCCTTTTCCAATCGTAACATCAAAATCTTTGCAAGGATTTTATATTGTATGTCGATCAAACTAATGGGACGAAAGTCATTAACTACCATCGGACCCATTACCTTTGGAATCAACGTAATGAAAGAAGAGTTACAGCCTGAAGGGATTATAATCTTAGAAAAAAGACTCTGAAACAAAATAAAAAACGTCGATCGTCAACATTTCCCAATACTTTTTAACAAAAGCAAAATTAAAGCCATCTGGACCTGGAGCTTTATCACTCCCACATTCCCATACCACCAACTTTATTTCTTCAATTGAAACAGGAAGTTCAAGACCGATAGCTAGAGAGGCCGAGAGTTCTCTAAACTGAGAGCTCCTTCGAAGAACCGAAATAACTTCAATTCTCTTAAACTTACTAGAAAAGTGTTCAAAAAATTCGTTTTTTACTTTAGGCACATCAGTTACCCAATCTTCCTCAATTTTAATCCCTTTTAAAGCAAGTTTGTCTTCCTTTTTTGTTCAACACTTCATGACAATACTTTGTATTCTCATCACCTTCTATGGACCATTTGATTTTTGCCTTTCAGAGAGATATCCAACATATCTTTCTTTTCTAACAATAATAAATATGCTCTAGCCTTTCTTCTCTCCGACAATATAACATCAGAAGCAAGACCATCATCAAGACCGATTGCTTAAGCCTTTTAAGCTTATTTTTAAATCTAATGGAAGCATTTACATCATTTTCGATTTCCTCAATACACCAGGAAGAGCTAACCAAGTGATCAAACCCATGCTCCATCATCGAGGAGTTGAAGAATTTAAAAGGTCTTGGACCACAATCTTGGCAATTCTAAAATAAAAAAATTGGTCCGTGATCCGAAATAGTCAAATCAAGAGCCATAGATGAAAGGTATCCTTTGATCGTTACTAGTTCTTTTAATAAAATTTTGGGCTGTTAAATTAAAATGAAATAAGATACCAAATTTTCAGGTTAAAAATAAAGTTACAAAAAATGGAATTATATTAGTAACAAATTAGTTATCTAACTACGTGTATAATAAAGTAACCCAAAAATAAGACGTATGCTGTTTGAAAATTATATTGATATCCAATGGTTTGAAAGTTGCAAGAATGTCTCTATCTTTGTTAGATAGTCATTTCAAAATTGGAAGACAACTAAAAATAATAGATAATTATTGTTTTAGAATATCACTTGATAGACATAATCATGTAATTTTTTAATAGATAAATATAAAAGACTGAGAATATTGCAATTAGGGCCTTAAATATTTAACGAATTTGGACTAAACAATTGGGTTAAAGCGTAATAGGTAGTCAACCAAAACGTGTAGCCCTTTGATTTCTTTCTGTTGCCGACTCATGTATTTCATAATCTTTTATAGTTTGAAAGTTAAACACGTTTGAAGTTAGACTGTTTTTCCATACGTCTCTATGCTCTCACTCATAATATGTCGGTTGCTTAGACTTGTGTATCATATCATTGATATCATCATATGGTATTCATCAAATTGAGAAATACTTATACTATTACTTGATCATTGATTCTACTTGATAATATCAGTAATGTGTTTACATTCACATAAGAATTCGACAAGATACATAAAACCAACCCCAAAACATTGTATGATAAGTTCTGAAATAAATTCTTATTAAGTTCACAAATTATAATCGTTCTTTATCAGATTTCACACATGAAATACTATGTATAAGTATCTAGTAAATAATCAGGATTAATTTAACTGATAGAGTATTTTTTGAAAACACAACGATTAAAATTTCTTCCATCAGAAAAAAATACAACTCCATATACTTTTCGAGCATCCTAATAGCAAGATATCAAGTCTTCTAATATTCTTACAAAACATTTTTTTTATAAACCTAAGATTTTTCTCCTTTGTTTCTCAAAATGAATATGATCCAAACTTGAGTGTTCATGTCCTTTTCATTTAATAAGATTTTTTTCTCCATTGATAAACGACATGTCACCTAATTATATGGCCACAAAATGCAAGTGGGCTAGGACTTGTTTGGAAGATCCATGTCCATATATGAACCAATAAAGTATCTTATGGGCCTACATAAATACCATTGGATTCTTGTTTGGCTTCAAAGGTAAATTATCTCACAACATGATTAGTTGATTATATGGCGCTCGCAATATTTTGCCACTAGATTTAAGGTCAACAATTCAAATCAATTCTTCTTTAACTTGCCTTACATTTTTCCTTATTTAATGCTCCCAAGTTACTCAATCCCTACTTCCAAGTTTAGATATATATTCCCTTCAAAACCCTAACGATTGAATTAAATCTCAATATCTAATAGATCACTAGAATCCCACCATCATGAGAACAAGTCCTTTGTTGCTATATTTCTTTCTTATTTTTGTGGTTCGGGTCAAATCTGACCCTGATCCACTTCAAGACTATTGCATAGCTGAAACACGAAATCCACAAACTATTTTTCTCAACGGGGCTCCATGCATAAACCCTATTAACGCCGCACCTTCTCATTTTACAACTTCTGCGTTGTCCAAACCTGGTAACACTGCAGCGAATCCTTTAGGGTTTAATGTTACTCTAACAAATATTCGAAATCTTCCTGGAATGAACACTCTTGGGTTAACAATGGCTCGAGTTGATATAGCTGGAAATGGGCTTGTTCCACCTCACACACATCCACGTGCATCCGAAGTAACTATTCTTATTAAGGGCTCGCTTTTAGTGGGATTTGTTGACACCTCAAATCGTCTTTTCACACAACAGTTACGTGAGGGTGATTCGTTTGTTTTTCCAAAAGGTTTAATACATTTCTTGTATAACCTTGATTCAAAAGCTTCAGCGTTAACCATATCAGGACTTAGTAGCCAAAACCCCGGTGCACAACTTGCATCATCTGCTACATTCACAACGAAACCGAGCATCCCTGATGACATCTTGAAGAAGGCATTTCAGATTAACGGCCAAGATGTGTCCAGGATACGTAAAAATTTAGGTGGTTAATGTAATTCTTAAACATTTCACCGTTTTATATTTGCGTTTGAAAGAAATATATTTACATCTCATAGAAAGCCAGGAAAAATAGTAATCACCATTAATAATAAAAATACAAATATGTTAATTGTTCATGTTTATCTATGGTTTGTTTTCTTTCTTTTTTTTTTTTGGCCATTTTACCGAAAATGTTTGATTTGTGTATGTTAAATATTGTAACTTTCTCTTTAAATATTTTGTTTTTGCAACAACTTTTGTAAATTGTTGACTACATCGAGATTAATAAATAAACTTTGTTTGATTATGTCATTAACGTATTAGTTGTTTGATTTAATTTTCTTTCATTAGTATTGACAACACAATACAAAAAAATAAGAATGTTATATCATCTTACAAGTTCCTTTTTTGAATGAGTAAAAGAAAGTGACAGGAGCAGTTCACATCGTCTGAGATTTCACCATTGATGCCATAACACGCAGACTCGAAAAAAGAAATCTCTATATTTAATGACCACGCGACTTATACATATTTTTTGAATCTTGAACTATATGACACATCTTGATAAATAAATTACATTTGATTGTGAGGTATGCAAGTTTAGGTGTCTTGTTTACACGGGTACACATGGAAATAAAATTGTCATAAAACATATATGCATCTATTCTATATAAAATAAGGGTATTATTTGTCTACCATAACTATATTTATTACTATTGTTATTATTAAATATTCAAAATAAATATGAGTATCCAACCTCTGAAGACATAAAATAATAGTAAATGTGTCTGGACAAAGTGAGTTTCTACGCTTGAGGGATGGGAAGCATATATAAGTCAAACTATGATTCCATTTATAGCTATTTATTAAAAATTAACACGGTCATATTTCGAAGTCCCGTTTTTTTTTAACTTTCTAAAAGAGAATGACTACTCGGTATCGTAAAAATAAACTTTATAAATTCACGAGTTACTATTTCCTGATAAACTTTCAACTTCTCGATTATGTCACCGTCCTAGGTCTTTACGGAGTTCTGTTAGGATTTGGGGAGTGGGACGACATAAGGTTCGGGACCACCATGACATGCTCGACAAACACATCCCCACCAAGGTGGCCTACCGAGGAGAGAGAAGGTGAACAACAACCTACTGATGAGAGAGAGAGAGAGAGAGAGAGTATCGACTATAACCACTAGTTTTCAAAAAAAAATCTAATATCAAACCATTATAAATACTAATAATATATCCTACCAAATTACCATTGCTCATTCCATGCAACAAGAGTTAGAAAATGAAGCAAGAAATGTGCATCTGAAACGAAGAATGTATATACAAAGAGATCGTGAATTTGCTCAACGTCTGACACATGATTATTTTAATGAACGTGTTAGTTTAAGATTATTTTAATGAACGTGTTAGTTTAAGATCAGTATGGCTTCCAACAAACTCTTTTTGATATTAGCTCATTCTCAATAAGGACTGCCCTTCGAGCAATAAACATTTGTTCTCAAAAATGTTTGTAAACAATTACCCTGTAAGTCTTGTTGGGATGTTCAATGAGATAACACATCTCTCATGCTAAATCGTAGATTGTTGAGGGCTTTACGATGAGCGTAAACCTCATATCATGAACTTCCAAATGTGCTACAGAGATACGAAGCCTTATTCCATATATTTTTTAGAGTGTCTCATGAACCTATTATCAAATCAAACAATGATTTTGATTATATATACAACTAAACTCCTTGCGGTAGTATTCTGGATGGAGACAACGTATGAAACCTTATTCATAATTGCTTAGATGATCAATGTTGTTTAGACTACGATGCTCACTATCCATCTAGGATTTCAGTATCTCATCCTCTTGCCCAGTTGACCCTTAATGTTTATTTACAAGAGCTCTGGACACCAAAAAGGTTCCAGACTCACGATCATACGAAATTGGTTTTGTATTGTAGTTTATTTGAATGGCTTAATTAGTCTAAACAAATTCCAATAGATATTCACATCACTTAGTGATGCAAATCTTATATATATTGATAAATAAGATTCACATTAATCACAAGATTTAAGGTCGAGTGATTTCCAAAATCATATCTAACTAGATCCTTGGTAATGCAGTTCTCATTCATATCAACAAGACTATGATTTCACAAGTGTAACATCCCAAAAATCAAGGTAAAATTTTCATTTTTTCAAAACCAACCCACAACCATAAATATTAACAATACTTAGTTTCCAAAAGTCAAATCACAAATCAGAGTATCCCAAAATCAAATCTCATAAAAACGAAAGGATGTGCACGATCAAACATTCGCCTTGCCCCGTTCATCGGAAGTACCTGAAACATAAAACTCAACTGTAAGTCAAAGCTTAACGAGTTTCCCCAAATACCAAACACAACCAACAAAGATACAAAATGCATGATGGGTCCACATTCTCCCGACTGGATTACCCTGGCCCACCTCCCGGTTGGATTGCCACTCTAGCCCACAATCTCCCGATCGGATTGCCACTGGCCCATAATCTCCCGATTGGATTGCCACTCAGGACCACAATATCCCGATTGGATTGACATTAGCCAACAATCTCCCTATTGTAAACCTCATATCATGAACTTTCAAATGTGCTGCAGAGATACGAAGCCTAATTCCACATTTTTTAGAGTGTCTCATGAACCTATTAGTTGGTTTAAGACTAAGGACTCTTGTAACACGAATCATCTAGTGCCAAATCAAACAATGATTTTGATTATATATACAACTACACTCCTTACGGTAGCTGTAACATCCGGATTCCTAGGTATTCTACGTTATTCATTTATTTTGAGTTTTGAGGAGGGACTCGACGAGTTGACGCCTAGACTCGTCGAGTAGGATCACGTTTTTGCTGACTGGATTAATGAAGGGACTCGACGAGTCGATGGGTGGACTCGACGAGTCCGCGTTGTGGACAGAAACCCTAAATCTCGGGGTATGTGCCCTATTTAAAGGCCTTTATGGCCTTTATTTGCGGCCACTACTCCCCTGAGAAACCCTAAAGAGCAGAGAGAAGCTTGTAGTGCAATAGGAAGTCTAATCCATCATTCTTGAGTGTGTTTTAGCAAAAGGAAGGAAGGATTTCGAGCTAGGCTGACTTGTGTGACTCAAATCTTCCATCATTTCGTTCAGAGCTGCTGTGAGAGGTAAGGATTCATGTCCATCTTCGTTTGAGTAATAGATTTCATGAATCTAGGGTTTCTTCTCTTCTCTTTTGGTAGAGATCTAGTGTGTATGATGTACCCTTGTGACAATAATATCAGATCTGGACCTTGAGAGGTCCAGAGAGTCCCTATCCTTCAGCTTTATGCAGTCCCTATGAGTTTTGGGGCCTAGGTTATCATATTAAAGGATATTTTGGCATATAGAGATGATAGTGTGTTGCATGGGCCTAAAGTTCGAACCTCTACGTGATTATCATGCTTGGGAAGGTCAGATCTATAGGCTAGGGAAGCAGATCTGACCTCAGAAGGTCATTTGAGTGAGAGCATGGAAGCAACTCGCCGAGTTCACAATGGGACTCGACGAGTCGAGTCGGGTTGCCCCGCGATTCGTTTCCAGTGGTAACCAGTCGAGTGGAAGGTTCACTCGACGAGTCGAGTGAGGCATACGAGGAGTCAGAGGACACGCATGAACTCGCCGCGTCACACGGGTGCACTCGGCGAGTCTGGTCAAGTTTGACCGTTGACTTTTAGGGTTTTGATCAACATTGGACTTTTTGGCCAGGGAGGGGTAAAGTGGTATTTTACCCTTCTGTGGGATTTTAGAAGGGGATTTAATCTAGCCTTTGGGAGCCATTATTTATTGGAGGATATTGTTTATGTGATTAGGCGGGGGCTAGATCAGTATATTCGTGTGCGAGATTATCCGAGTTACCCGAGGTGAGTCTTCTCACTATACATTATCTAGAGTGATATCTATGTGTAGACCGGAAGGTCTTGTGTGCTATGTGTATGTATGAGATTATGTGCAATGTGATATATGTATGCTATGTGATTGTATAGACCGGACCGGAGGGTCCAACGATGTAGACCGGACCGAAGGGTCCAACGAGCTATGACCGGACCAGAGGGTCCAACGAGCTACGGGACTGGAGGGTCCCGCTGAGACACATCGACCGGAGGGTCGTACTGTAGCCTCGAGTGGCGTATGTGTTGTATGTGGTATTTTGGGGAACTCACTAAGCATTTATGCTTACAGTTGTTGTGTTATGTGTTTCAGGTACTAGCGAGGACCGTGGGAAGGCGCCGGCATGATCCGTACACACTGAGAGGATTTATGTATTTGAGATCTTGGGATTTGTTTATTGTGATAACATGTGATATATTGGATTACTATGACATTTTATGAATGAAAGTATGTTTCGCAAACGAAAAATTGTTTTCGAAATTCACGTTGTTACAAGTTGGTATCAGAGCCTTGGTTTGAGGGATTCGGATGCACCTTCGGGCGTATCTGAACTCAAACTAAGGATTTTAGGGAATTTTTCATAAAAGAAACAATTTTTCTAAGAGAGTAAAAGATTTTGAGAAAGGCAGAACGGAGCAGTGTGTACGATCAGTCAGCGCTCGAACGGTGATTTCCCAAAATACCCTTACATTATGTATTATGAGATATTATGTGATATGCTATGCATGCTAGCGTAGGCTAGGTACTAATATTAGGACTAGAGAGGCCTGATTTGTGATGCCTTAGCGTAGGGAGATTTCTACTGCTATGAGACGCTTGATAGTGAGTAGGTAGCAGTGAGGAGCTTATGAGAGGTCTACCGAAGGGTAGCCTATGCTAGTGAGATGTAGAGTACTTGTGACCTGGGATCCAAGGAGGAGGACTTGGGGTGAATATTGATGCGGTGTGGACGGTAGTATAGGGCCCGTACTACCGAAGACACCGGATCAGTGCGCACCTAAGTAAGAATTCTTAGGATACTAGGGAACAAGTAGGGTTGCGTTATCGAGAGCGAGTATGCTCGAAC